TTTTTTTTTTTTTTTTTTTTTTTTTTAGAGCTTGGCAGTAGCTGAGAGCAACTTTTTAGTTAAAGAAGCATCTGGTTTCTAGATAAGGTGTTCTCTTGATGAGTATTAATATGATACCAGACATCATACATACATTCTCATTCAATCCTCATAGCATCTCTTGGGAAGTACATAGCATCATCCATTTCTTTGAGCAGTTAGAAACTTTCCAAGTTCACATAGCTACAGGAAGCTGAATTTGAAAGCAAATCTAATTTTAGAATCAGTGCTCTTAACCACTTTGCTACTTTTTCAATAAGAAAGTCCAAAGCTAAATTAGCAGAAGTGCTGACAGGTTTTAGAAATGTAAACTAGAAGAAATGTTACTATTTAAGCAGCTATTTCTATATTTAAATTCTACATTCTAAAATATAAAGGATTTAAGCAATATAAAAGGAAGGTTTGTGTAGTTCATGGTCTTTGTATGACTGCCCTGGGTGCTACTTCTAAAAAGAGATTTATTTTGTTATTTATTTATTTGTGTGCATGCATGCACATGCGTGCACACATAGAGGTCAAAAGCAGACTTCAGATCTCCTGGAACTGGAGTTACAGGTGGTTGTGAGTGACCCAATGTGGGTGCTGGAACTGAACTCTAGTCCTCTGAAGAAATTTAAGTACTCTTAACTTCTCAGCCATGTCTCTGGATCCCCTTGGATGTTATTTGATTTTTAAGATATTAAGAACTTTAAAAAAAATTGGAAACCATCAAACTTTAAAACAAATATATAACAGGTGGATTGCATAAAGGAATTTGTTTTGCTTTCTGGGGGAAACAGATTGCAAAGCTTCCATCTAGTGGCACATTTATGTTACTGCAGACTTAATAGATGGGCTAGTCATGACTCTTGGAACTCACAGCTACTTGCTTAAAACTCACAACTACTTGCTAGATTGATATTGTTCTAGTTTGGCTTCAATCGCTGTGACTGAACACTCTGACCAATACTTGGGGAGGAAAGAGTTTATTTGGCTTACATTTCCCAAGTCACAGTTCATCACTGAGTTAGCCCAAGGTGGGAACTCAGGGCAGGAACCTGGAGGCAGGAGCTGAAGCACAGGTCATGGAGAAATGCTGCTTACTGGCTTGCTCCCTGGCCCATGCTCAGCCTGATTTCTTATACAATACAGAACAGCCTGCCCAGGACTGGCACCACCCACAGTGGACTGGACCCTACCACATCACTCAGCAATCAAGAAAATACCCTACAGACATGAACATGGCCATAGGCCAGTCCAATGGAGACAATTCCCCAATTGAGGCTCCCTCTGCCCAGGTGTGTCAAGTTGACAACTAAAGCTATTCAGCACAGGTATAAAACATTTTATGTGCATAATTTCATTTGTGTCTTCATGACAGTACTGGGAGGCGGGTATTATTATGCCCATCTTTACGGAAAAACTGAGACAAAATTGAAATAACTTTCTGAAGATTATAAGATTGACAAGATATCAGTGTATATGCTAGGGGTGGGAAAGGTTGTGGTGGGAGGATGGAAGAGAGAGAATCTGAACATAGTCTTAAAATATGCTATGTTTAGAATTAATAGCTCACATTTTAAAATACTCTTGATACCTCCTTGTTATATTGTTCTCCAGAAAATTTGTACCTGTTTGTACTTGTGCTGAGATCATATATTAGTATAAATGGAGTATTTGGTTTTCAAAGTTTCTTTTAAATTTTTGTTCACATTTTATTATTTGTTTATTCATTCATTTATTGTGTGTGTGGAGGGCTAAGTGATGTGTGAGTTTGTGTTTGTGTGTGTGTGTGTGTGTGTGTGTGTGTGTGTGCGCGCACACGCACACATGGGCCATAGTGTGGATGTGAGAGTTGGTTCTCTCCACATGTGGCTTTCAGTAGGATAAAACAAAGGTCATCAGACTTGGCAGCAAGCACCTTTGCCTACTGAGCCATCTTGCTGACCATCAAAATTTCTTTATACATGAATTAACTTCCAACTTTTTTTTGCCCAAGACAGTTTATTACTTATTATTAACTTGTGATGCACCATTAAATTTATTTTTAGTGAGAGATGGGGAACGGAATGTGTAAGATAATATTTTTATTTTTTAAAAAAATTATTTATTTTTTTGGTCTTTTTGGGACAGGGTCTCCCTGTAGTCCCAGCTGTTCTGGAACTCACTATGTAGACCAGGCTGGCCTTGAACTTACAGAGATCTGCCTGCCTCTGCCTCCCGAATGCTGGGGTTAAATGTGTACGCCACCACGCCCGGCTAAGATAATATTTTTATTAAGAGAAATCTTGAACAGGGTAGATTGGGACAGAGTGAGACTGTTGGCAAAGTGACCAGTTTGGACTGGGTAGTGGCAGCAAATAGGTAAGCATCTATATGATGATGTCATGAAGAATTTGACAGGACATGGAGAAGAGCAAGGTAAAGGAGAAACAAAGAATGAAGGAGAATCCTGTGTTTTAGAATAAGCCTGTAATTCCAGCACTTGGGGAATAAAAGCCAAATGTGGTGGCCTGTTACCTTTAAAATCCTCAAGAGGTAGAGGTAGGAGGATCAGGATTTCCAGACCAGCTTCAGCTGTGTTATGAGTTAAAGGCCAACTTCGGCTGCATGAGACTGTTACAAGAAAAGAGGGAATGTGAGACTGACATTTATTTATTTATTTATTTATTTATTTATTTATTTATTTATTTATTTATTTTGGTCTTTTTGAGACTTATTTATTTATAGGTATAGAATACTTTATATAGATAGCTAGTGGATTTGACTTGCTTGACTTTGATGCTACATGCATTTTTATGTTATATATTGATACCCCAAATACCTTTCTTTTTCATTTATTTATTATTTTTATTTTATGTTTATGAGTGTTATGCCTGCATGTAGGTAAGTGCACCTGTGTTGTGCAGTGCCCGTGGAGGACAGAAGAGGCTGTGGGATCCCTTGGAACTGGAGTTAGGGACAATTGTTAGCTGCCATGTGGGTGCTGGGATTCGAACCTGGGTCTTCTGCAAGAATAGTCAGTGTTTTTAACCGCCGAGCCATCTCTCCAGCCCACCAAAATACCTTTCTTAATTGTTAAAACCTTTTTTTCTTATTTTAATTAAAAAAGTTTATTTATTTATTATTTTTATTTTATGTGTATGAATGTATTTCCTGTATGTATGTGAGTGCACCTGTGTCATGCAATGCCATGGAGGTCAGAAGAGAACTTCAGATTCCCCTGGAACTGGAGTTAAGGACAGTTCATAGCCGCCATGTGGGTGCTGGGAATTGAACCCAGGTCCTCTGCAAGAGCAATCAGTGCTCTTAATCACTGAGCCAACTCTCCAGCCCCTCTTATTTTAATTTTTACAAAAACTTTATTGAGAATTTCACACATGCATATAAGGTGTTTTGATCAAATCCATGCCCACTCCCTCCCCTCCAACATCCCCCCCTCTGAAGAGGTAACCTTAAAATCTTTTAAGGATTAGATACAAGCTCCCAAAGACTTGTGACATTTTTGGCCTTTGGAACAGAGTATGTTGCTAACAGGCCCAAGGACATTTTGACTTTTAGCCAAGAAACTGGCTACATTTCTTTGGGGTGTTTTTACCCTAACTGCCTAGCCAATTTCTACCTCCTATTGTTATCATGCTATCCTCTGAAGGGGTTACCCAAATTGTCAGTAGGGAATAGGGATGCCGACCACTCTGGCTTTTTCCACTCTGAACAGGGCGCAGGGTGAGGCCATTGGAGTACCCCTTCAGTGGGTCTATGTAAAAGACTCCCAGATTGCATAACTTTTGTCTCTAAGGGGAGAAGAAAGTCTTGACTCATGAATAGATGTGAAGGAGAAGTAAAGGCAAGAGTAATTAGCACTGCAAGTTCTAGACAGGGAACTAGAAAAAAGTCAGAACAGGGCAATCTTCAAATGTTCATATGAGAGTCCATTGGAGTTTCTTGACAACCTTTTTTTTTTTTTTTTTCTCCTTCTTTTTGAGACAGGGTCTCACTATGTAGCCCTGGCTGTCCTGGAACTTGCTATGCTATGTAGATCAGGCTGGCTTTGAACTCATAGAGATCTGCCTGCCTCTGCCTCCTGAGTGCTGGGATTAAAGGTGTGTGCCACCATGCCTGGTCTTCACAGTTGTCTTAATTGGGATAAAATTCACTGATTTAACCATTTTATGATACATAGTTCAGTGGTTTAGTGTATTCCTAAAGTTGTGCAACCGTTACTACACTCTTAATTCTAGAACATTTCTATCATCTCCCAATAAAACCACATAGTTCTCAGTTCTGACCTCCCAATATCTCCTGGAAACTTGGTGCAGTTTTTGGAGGGATTGCTATTCCAATCCTTTGCTTATATATTGTTTTGTAGGAGACCCTTCTTTGAATTTATATTTTCATTTAACTTAAAACTTTACTACTTTAGTAGATTCATTTTATTGTAAAACGTTGTGATTGCTTTTCCTAGTGCCTATATTTCAAATGGCTTACATTTACCATTTCTTTATCCACATCCATTTTCAGGTGTATAATTCAATGACATCAAGTCCACACACAGTGTTGCACAACCATTACCAGTTCTAATACTTTTTGTCAGTCCAAAAGAGACTGTATTTATTCAATAATAATAATAATGAGGAATTTATAATAGTGGGGACTGAGCTCTTGAAATGGAACTTTTTTTTTTTAATTTACAAAGTGAAATGAGACGAATATAATCTATTTAAAATGTTTTCCAACTTTGAGTCATTTAAAAGGAAACATGATTCTGTAATTTTCATATTTGTTAATGGTTGCTTTTAGTTTGTAGAGGAATGGCTTCTTGAAATAGAAAATATAGCCGTTATCTTGAAAATATATACATTTTACCATTATATATACAATGCTTATAATTATTGTTATATGTAATTTGATGTTGCAAATGTACATTTTTAGATACTTTAAAGTTTATATAACTTAAATTTTTTCATTTTTTTTCTTTAAAGGAAACTCAAGAGTATACGCGAAATGTTGTAAGATACTGCCTTGAAGCTCTTCAAGACTGGTTTGATGCTATTAACTTTGTAGATGAGGTGTGTTTATGTGTGTGTGTGTGTGTGTGTGTGTGTGTGTTTGTGTGTATGCACACACATACATGTTTTCAAAAAATTGTGTTAGAAATTGAACCCATGGACTTATTCATGCTGGGCAGGTGCTATGCTACTGAGCTATATCACTAGTCATTGTATGTATATTTTTCATGTATTTAAGGAAAAAGTGTTAGATTTCATTTAAAGTAAAAAATTATGAGTGTCAGCCAGGCGTGGTGGCGCATGCCTTTAATCCCAGCACTTGGGAGGCATAGGTAGGCGGATCTCTGTGAATTCAAAGCCAGCCTGGTCTACATAGTGAGTTCCAGGACAACTGGAGCTACAGGAAGACCCTGTCTCAAAAAGACCAAAATAATTATGAGTATCTTTTCATAGGGTAAGAGAAAGAATAATTAATATTACAAAGGCTTTACAGAAAGGATGGTAAAAGGGACGTCTAGTTCTTTTGTATATAGGGAATTGCAAATTACCTTTAATCATATCTGCTTATATCCTAGAGAAGAGATGCATACTTTATTTTTCCATTTTAAGTGTATATTTATCATTATTTTTAGTTGAAGAAGTAAAAATGTTGGCATAATTGGGAGTAGGACAGGGGAGAAGAATGAAAAATATTCCAACTTTATTATTTGGACAATGTTCTTGTTAGAGAGTGGAAAGATAAGCTTGAACAAAGGTGTTTTTGTTAATGAACATAGGAGAGTTGGCACAGGATGTAACATCCTATGTTGGTATTGCAGGTATTCATTCTATTAGTCAGAAGTCCTTCTCTTCCTCTTAGGAATAGGGTTAGAATATGCCATATGCAGAAGAAAGACTGTGTTTCAGAGTTTCAGACAGTCCTCTCCAATCCCTCAATCCAAGTTTTGAATCTTGGGCAGGTAGGATCCCTGTTGTGTGTGTGTAAAGGTGGTGAGTTGCTTTATTTATTTTTCTTTCTTTAAACATTTTTTTTAGGTTAGCATACAAAGTAATACATTTCATCCTGGCATCTTCATATATGCTTTGCCTTCCTGAAAAACATTTTGATAGAGTCACAAATTTACTGAAAAGTTGGGAATGAAAATAACTTTCTGGAATCATCTGAGTTAAATTATTTACTCTGTCACTATTACAACTCTAGACTTTAATGTTTATGTCCTATAAGCTAGGATATTCACTTAATATAACCAGAATACAACTATACAAATCATTAATGTATATTAACCATCTAATCCTTTGAAGTCATTTATATCTTAGAAGTTGTTACTGGTGTGTGTGTGTGTGTGTGTGTGTGTATGCTTATTAGAGTGGGTGCTTATTGTGTGGGGTCCATGTGCATGTAAAGGTCACATGGACCTTGAATGTCAGTCATTTCTGAGGGTTGTCCACCTTGTTTTTGATACAGGGTCTCTTATTGGCCTGCAGCTCACTAAGTAGGCTAGACTTAGCAACCCTAAGAATCTTTCTCCATCTCCTCATGACTGGGATTACAGCCAAGCACTTGCTGTGCCTGCTTGGTTTCTTTTTTTTCCCTCCCCCTCTCTTTCCCTTCCCCTTCCTTTCTCCCCTCCCCCTCCCTCCTCCTTCTCTTCAATGTATATGCTTTAAAAAACATTTTTTATTGAGTTTTTATACATTTCATATAATCTTAATTAAATTCAGACCCTCCTCCCCATCTGTGCCTCCTATACCCGCCCCCCCCCCCACTGGATTACAATTACATGTATTCTGTCATATGTTAAGCCATATCTGGTCAAGTATTTGTTCCCAGATATCCCTTGGTACAAGTTCATCCACTGGAGTCTAGTCACCCTATCTAGAGACACTCCCTTAAAGAAGATCTACTTTCCCTCATCCAGCTGTAATCAGTTGCCAATGGTTCCTCAGCTAGGGTTGGGGCCTGCTGCCCATTTCCCTTGTTCTATGCTGAGTTTTTGTCTGAGTGGGTATGGGTCTTGTGTGTGTGCTGTCACCATTGTTGCAAGTTCATATGAGCAAGTTCCCAGTGACCTGAAAGCCTCAGTTTCCTTATGTTCATGCACCAACCCTGGCTCTTACAATCTTTCAGCCCCCTCTTCTGCAACTGTCCCTGATCTGTGGGTGAATAGGGGTCCTATTTAGGCACACACATTCTTTTTTTTTAATTTAAAAAATTTTATTTTTATTTTATGTGTATGAGTGTATTACCTGCATTGGTGTTAAGTGCACCCATGTCATGCAATGCCTGAGGATGTTAGAAGAGAGTGTTGGATTCCCTTAACTGGAGTTAGGATGGTTGTGACCAGTCATGTGGGCGCTGGGAATTGAACCCAGGTCCTGTGCAAGAGCAGTCAGTTTTCTTAACCACTAAGCCATCTTTTTTTTTAAGAAACATGAGTTCTGTTGGGGATTAAACTCAGGTCTTCACATGTATGTAACAGGCACCTTATTGACTAAGCTATCTGTCCAGCCCTCAGTGATGTTCTGAATAGCAGAAGAATCTGATTCAGAATAAGTTGGTGAATTTTCTTAACATATTTTAGATCTTTTTCTGGACCACTTTTCTCAGTATTCATCTTTCCAGATAGTGACATTTTGAAGAATATAGATCAGTTATTTAGTAGAATGTTTCTCAGTTTAGGTTTGTCTTGTTTAGATTTGGACTATATATGTATTTCCAGGAATATCACAGAGAGATTGTTGCAGGCTTTCATTGCATCTAAGCTGATGTTTTATGTATGACTTGTGTTTGTCCTCATGATGCTCCCTTTTGTTATGATTAGTATGATGCTTGCTAGACTTGTTTACCATAAAATTTCTCTTTTTCACACTATAATTAGTAAGATATTTTGTGAGGATATACCTTGAAACTATGCAAATGTTTCTGTGTCCATCATTGAATTTCAGTTTACTAGTTTATTTTTAACTGTATGGATTCGTAGTTTCTGTTTTACCTGGTGGACCATAGTCTATCTATTATTGTTTGATGCACAGAATGTTTCAGATAGGTCTATCAGTTTGATACATGTGAGAGCCACTCCAGGTTGATTCCTGTGTTCTTTTGCTTATTTATCATTTTTGAATACTTCCATGCTTTATGTCCTCACAAAATGTTTTAGGTATGGGACTAGAGAGATGGCTCAGCAGTTAAGAACATGGCTTCTCTTGCAGAAGACCTGGTTTGATTCCCAGAACCCACATGGCAGCTAACAGCTATCTGTAACTCCAGTTCCAGGGGGATCCAACACCCTCTTCCAACCTCCACAGGCATTACACAACACTGATACATTTACATGCATAAGGACAATAAACTCATACACATAGAATAAAAACAATAAATAAAATAAAAAAATATATGCTTAGCTGGACATGGTGGTGTATGCTTTTAATCCCAGCACTTGGGAGGCAGAGGCAGGTGGATCTTTGTGAGTTTGAGCCCCCCCTGGTCTACATAGTGATTTCCAGGATAGCTGGGGCTACAAGGAGCCCCTGTCTCAAAAAAACCAAAAAAAAAAAAAAAAAAAAGTGCTATAGAAAGCAAGAATGGTATGGTAGTGTGCTCGTGACTATGGGGATGCCACTCTTTCCAAACATTAATAGTAAGCAGAGCTTAGGAGTGTAGATATGCACATACACCTATATGCATCTGTCTTTATTTTTCTAACTACATACGTAGTGAGGAGTACAAATTGATATTTAAATTTCAGCATAACACCAAATAATTTATTCTAGTTTGGTATTGAAACTTTAGAGGTTATTGTTGAAATGTTATTCTTTTGCAGTTGTATCTTCTAAGATTTTATGTACTGACAAAAAAGTGTAAGAATTAATCTAGGTGGGACTATGTTTACAATATTTGAAACTTGTTGGAATGTGTGTCAAACAGTCTTTGATTTGTGGATTTTGTTTACTCTAGCCAGCTCCTAACCAAGTCACTTTTCACCTGCCACTGCATCGTTACTATGCTATGTTTTTGAGTAAGGTGAGACTGTTAGCTAATTTTTTTTTGTTGGTAGTGGTGGTGGTGTTTTTAATTTTGAGGAAAATATTGAATTACTAACTTTCTAATCATGGATTTTTAGGCTGTGAAATGTCAAGAACTAGATTTGGATTCTGTTTTACCAGATCAGGAAATGTTAATGAAACTAATGATTCACCCACTTCAAATTCAGGTATATATCTGAACTTTTAAAACATTTTGAATAGGATTCTTTGGCTAAATGATCCTTCCTTTATTTTGTATGCTTTTATGATTCTTACTATTGCCCAAACGTGGGGTGGGGGTGGGGGGTGAGGAGTGTTGGTGTTGCATGCCTTTGATCCCAGCAGAGACAGACAGATCTCTGAGTTCAAGGCCAGATGGAGCTACAGGGAGACCTTTATCTCAAAAGATGAAAGAAAGAAAGAAAGAAAGAAAGAAAGAAGGAAGGAAGGAAGGAAGGAAGGAAGGAAGGAAGGAAGGAAGGAAAGAAAGTTGATTATGGGGGCTGGAGAGATGGCTCTGTGGTTAAGAGCACTGACTGCTCTTGCAGAGGACCCAGGTTCAATTCCAGCACCCACATGGTGGCTACGAACCGTCCTTAACTCCAGTTCCAGGGGAATCTGAAGCCCTCTTCTGACCTTCGCAGCACTGCACGACATGGGTGCGCTCACATATATGCAGGCAATACACTCGTACACATAAAGTGAAAAATAATATTTTATAAAAGGCCAGGCGTGGTGGTGCACGCCTTTAATCCCAGCACTTGGGAGGCAGAAGCAAACAGATCTCTGTGAGTTCAAGGCCAGCCTGGTCTACATAGTGAGTTCTAGGACAGCTGGGACTACAGGGAGACCCTGTCTCAAAAAGACCCGCCCCCCAAAAGTATATATTAAAAAAAAGAAAAATAAAAAAATAAAATATTAAAACAGTTGAGTTAGGTTGAATTACAAATGTATATTGTACTCACCGACTTTGAACAATTAGTTTTATTTTATGCTTTTTTTTTTGTTGTTGTTCTTTTTTTTTTTTTTTTCGAGACAGGGTCTTCCTGTAGCCCCTGCTGGCCTAGAACTCACAGAGATCCACCTGCCTCTGCCTATTTTAAAGAAGATGACAATATAACAAATAGTCATTAATTTGAAAATTAAAAAAAATAAGCCTACCATGGTAGAACAGAGGCCATTCTGAGGTTCACAGTGAATTTTTGGACAGCCTGGGCTACAGAGTAAGATCTTACCCCAAAGACAAAGGCAAAAAAGAAAAAAAAATATTTGAAATGAGTATCTTTAATGTTATACAGAATGCCAGGCTCATATTATGATTAACTCATAAAATATGTTTTAATATTTTACTTATTTTATGTGTATGTGCATATTTGCCTGTATGTATGTAAGTGTACCTGTATTGTGCAGTGCCTATGGAGCTCAGAAGAGGGCATTGGTTCCCCTGTAACTGGAGTTATAGATGATTGTTAGCCCTCATGTGGGTGGTGGGACCTGTACCTGGATCCTCTGCCAGAGCAGCTAGTGTTTTCTTAACCACTGAGCCATCTCTCCAGCCCCAAGTCATAAAATATTTTAAAATGATTAATACAGTGTGATTTTATTGAATTTAGATTATTTATTCTCTTATTCGTTTTTTATTAGGCAAGTCTTGCTGAAATTCACAGCAACATGTGGGTAAGAAATGGTCTGCAAATCAAAGGACAAGCCATGACCTATGTCCAGTCTCATTTCTGCAATTCCATGATTGATCCTGACATTTATCTATTACAGGTAGGCCAACTTAGTAATCCAGATGTTGTACTTTAAAAGTGCTTTGATGTGTCCTTGGGATTTTAAATTTATAGAAGTGGTAATGACTGGAGGAATTGAGAGAAGAATGTTTTACTTATATTTCTCCAAGGAAGGATGCACGCCATACCATGTGGGCTGCAAAGGAAGCATCAGTTTTGGTCAGGAGGCAGAAGCAGGAGCCTGGAGAAAGACCAGGCCAGCACTTTTGGAGAGCTTCTATAGGAAAGCCGAGACAGAACATAGCATATAGTTTAAATAATTCCAGCAGGCTTTGCAGCATAGGTCTGTACCTTCTTGTGTTTTACATAGCCCTGGATTGACTGAGGATAGGGAAAATACTGGGTTGGTGTGAGTTAAAGTGAGTGGTTGGCTTGTGTGAAGGGTGCTCCTAAATAAATTTTCTACAGTGTTTATGAATTTACTATCCTTGGCTATAATTTATATCTTTTTTCTTTTTTTTGCACCCTTAATACTTTTCCTACTTTTGTGTGGCTCACAGTTTATAGAAATATAATAGAATTAGAATATGCCGGGCGTGGTGGTGCGCGCCTTTAATCCCAGCATTCTGGAGGTGGAGGCAGGCAGATCTCTGTGAGCTCAAGGATAGTCTGTTCTATGTAGTGAGTTCCAGGCCAGCTGGGGTTACAGGGAGACCCTGTCTTAAAAAGATCAAAAAAAAAAAAAAAAAAAGGAAAGAAATATAATAGGATACATAAAATAAAAATAAAAAACATGGCTACTATAAGAAGTAAAACTGATTTTGAGAAATAAGGTTTTCTCTTCCCCTGTGTTTTCAAAGGTTTGTGCTTCTAGACTTGACCCAGATTATTTTGTATCATCTGTCTTTGAAAGGTAAGTAAGCATGTGTGTATTAAGATTGAAACTAGGAAGTATCTGGAATTTAACTTGATTTTGTTTTATCTTCTAAAAATGTATTTGAAATATTTCTTCTCCTAGATTTAAGGTGGTAGACTTATTGACAATGGCTTCTCAACATCAGAATACAGTACTTGATGCAGAGCATGAGAGATCAATGTTAGAAGGCGCACTTACGTTTCTTGTGATTCTTTTGAGTCTTCGTTTACATTTAGGTAAATCTAATGATGATAGTGACTGTTTCTCTCTTTTCTCCTATCCCTCTGTTAGTATCTGGTTTATGAAAAAAGGAAAAGGATGTGAATATATTTAAATATACTTTAAAATTTTTGACATATATAATTAGTACATCTGTTAGCATAGTCTTTAAAAAAAATCCGTTGCTTAAAGGAACTGTGAATATCGAGGTAGTAAGACTATAGCTAAATGTGAAGCCTTGCATTCCTTTTTTACTCTTTAACCTGAAATTTCTCATATTTGGTAGAACCTCTTAATAAAATGTGTGATAAGTTCTTTCTAATTTATATATAGAGATTAATTCTGTTTTTAATAATTTCAGGAATGTCTGATGATGAGATTCTCAGAGCAGAGATGGTAGCCCAGTTGTGTATGAATGACAGGACACACAGCTCTTTGCTGGACCTCATATCCTTTAAAAATCTAATTTTATGTTAGTGGTAAGAGCTAAAAAAATTACTTTTATGGATTAAAAGCATCTCACATTTTAAAGATTTATTATTATTTTTTTAACGAGAAATAACGTTGAAAAAGAAGAATGGAGGTGGTATGCATTTTTACCTCTTGTCACTTCCTGGGAAGATTTTCTTATACCTCAAGGTTGGCTTTAAGACTAATAGTTTTGGACATGGGTACTTTGTAAAAGGTAGTTAGAGCTCCTTTCTCTCTGTAGCCATGCTGGAATACATATTTAATACTTAGAGAGATACTTTATAATAGTCATTACTAGGGCTTTAAACATTTGTAAAAATTTTTGTTGTTGTTGTGAGATCAGTGTTATGTGTATGAGTGTATTGCCTGCATGTGTGTTAGTGCACCATGTCATGCAATGCCTGCGGAGGACAAAGAGGATGGTGCAGCCCCTGGAATTGGAGTTATGGAAGGTTATTAGCTGCCATGTGGGTGCTGGGATTCAAATCCGGGTCTTATGCAAGAACAGCTAGTGCTCTTAACCACTGAGTCATCTTTCTAGCTCCAGGAATAAAGAATTTTTAAGTTTATGGATTATTATTTTATCAATTGGAAAGCAGTGATTCTTTGTATAGAACTGTACATTCACTAGATACTTTCTTTTTTTTTAGTTAATAATATTTAATTACTGTATTAATTATTTTCATTTTGTTTGGAGGCAGCATCTTGCTATGCAGCCCTGTTGACCTGGAACTCACTATGTAGACCAAGCTGGCCTTGAACTTGGCAGCCAGCCTCCTGCCTCTGCCTTCCATTGCTGATATCATAGGCCTATGTCAGCACACCAGCAAGTTAATGGCTAATGAAAGTGTAGATAAAGATTCTAGAGTTATTTTTATATGACTAAATTTATCTTATGGTTGGAAGAATTGACTGAAATTTTGATTTGTGAAAGGACTTAGAATACTTCATTGCCTACTTTGAAGATTTTTATGAGTAGTATCAATTTAATATTGTCTGACTTTTTTTTTCTCCTGGTGCTGGGGATTAAATCTAAGGCCTTGCACAAACCAGGCAGGTATCCTGTCACTGAGTCATATCCTCAGCCCCTTGTCTGATGATTACATTCAACACTTATAGACTGTATCAGTGCTGTTACAGAGCAAAAATGTGTACTATAACTGAATTTAATAATTATATAACTTAATATGCAGCAGAGAGAAATCTTTGTTTTGCCACTTTTTCTTTGCCTAAAACCCACTTTTTGTTTAGGGAAGATTTTGATTTTGGAAAAGTAATGTTTTAAAAAGACTCATAAAAATCTCAAAGTTTTAGTCTATTTTTTCTGGTTTTCTGAGGAAAGGTGCAACATTATTTACACAGTGATTGATATGGAGATCAGTTTAAAATTGTCTTCCTTACTTTTATTGAAATTTGATGAATTTATATGGGGGGGGGAATATATAGGAGGACTGTTTCATCATTTAGCTTATTAGTTGGCTTCCAGATTTAAATTATTGAAAAAGAAGTTGCAATACTTATTACTGACCTGTTATCTGGCCCTCTTGTGGTCAACTTTATGCATTACAGCCAGTCATTCTCTTAGTTTAGTAAAATCTCTTAGAAATTTGCAAAGGCTTTGAAATTGGCTCTAGTCATTAGTATTTTTTTCTTGACACGTAAATCATATTCCAGAAAATCCCAACCCCAAAAGTGGCATTATCCCTGGAAGTTATAGCTTTGAATCAGTTTTATCAGCTGTAGCGGATTTTAAGGCTCCTGTTTTTGAACCTGGAGGTTCAATGCAACAAGGCATGTATACTCCCAAAGGTATGTTTACATACATCAATGCATTCTTTCAACTCTCCATGCTTTGAAGGTGAATTCTTGTAGAAAATGAAAGAAAAAATTTTTTAGTATGAATGTGTATTGGTATGGGTGTACATGTGTGTGGGTAGCTGCAGATGTGTGTGGAGTCAGAGGTCAACCTTGGTGTCATTTGGTGTCATTCCTTTTTTGAGATGGGGTCTTCATTGAACCTAGAACTTACCTAATAGGTTGAACTGGTTGGCCAGAGAGCCCCAGAGATCTACTCATCACCACCCCCGCAGCCCTGGGATTACAAGCACATGCCACCATGCCTGTCTTTTTAATGTGGGTTCTGGGACTGAACTCAGGTCTTTGTGCTGTCAAGGCAAGCATTTTACTGACTGAGCCCAAAAATGCATTTTATTCAGTTTTTTATTTGGTTTTCTTCTGTGAACGAACTTACAAATTTATGTTTTTCATGGTAAATAGTGATGCTGCTTCCATTTATTTAAAAATACATGGGTTTGTGTTACATTGGCCTTCTTAAATGATTAAATTATAAAATTTAGTTTATTTTTGTAGTTGACCAAAACCAGAAACAAACCATGAATTATAAAACAAAAATGTATCTGTCTGAATTTGAATTTGAAACAGTTTTTACTAACTTTTAACTTGAGATAGTTGAAATTAAAATCTATATAGAATGCTGAGACAGTTGAAATTAAAATCTATATAGAATGCTGACAACTTTTACAATTTGAATCTATTTAAACACAGGAAGCCTTTTCTTTTTCCTTAAAATGATTGGTTTTCTAAGATTTGCCTCCTGCATTCATAGATGATATGATTGACAAGAGTGAGAAATAGGTAAGATTTTGATTCACTGAGAGTTTTTTTTTTTTTTTTTTTTTTTTAAACAAAACTGATACTTGTTTTCACATTAAAACTTTGAAGGGGCTTGCAGTTATGTGCTCCTGATCTTTTCAACATTTTTATTGCCTAAATGAAAGTCCTGTATGCATTTTGAAGTTATATAATAGCATGTACTGGATTTGACAAAGCGCAGAAGAAAAGCTTTATGATGTATGTTTTCTTATGGAGTTCATAAGTAACAGGAATAATCCAGAATCTCTGGGTGGAATATATTCCATTAAAGGAAAAGCAGAGTATGTCTTCATTATATGAAGAACATGTTGTGTCTGAAATTTACATGAACTTAGGAGTAGAATGGCATTTCTGCGTAAATCAATGCTTACCACAGTGTGGTATGAGGGCTATCTCTGCCAGACTCACTGGCAGGCCTTGTCACAAACTCATGTTCTTTGCCTCATCCTGTTTCTGTTTTCATCAGATTCTCTGTGGGTACAATCTAGCAATCTCTTGTTAAACAAGCTCCGTAAATGGTTGTTATGTACAGTAAAGTTCAAGATAAATAATGGTTTCTTGAGCTGGAAAGTTGAAATTAGCTTAAGCTCTGTATTGTCTTTTCATATGTTAAGAATTTTGCTAGAGAGAATGAGAAGTGAGAAAAGCACTTAATCTAGGAAAGAGACATTCTTGGCAGTGGTTTCTAAATTATTCTCTTCAGGCCACCTTTTAGACATTTGTCACATCTAAATAGCTGTACTGTTGCATATTTAGCATTTCAGTATTTTCTTCAATGGGTTAATTTCTTTTCTTTTTCCCTTCCTTTTTTTTTTTTGGTCTTTTTGAAACAGGGTCTTCCTGCAGCCCCAGCTGGCCTGGAACTCACTATGTTGATCAGGCTGGCCTTGAACTCACAGAGTTCCGCCTGCTTCTGCCTCCCAAGTGCTGGGACTACAGGCGTGTGACACCACACCTAGCAATGGGTTAATTTCTTTTAAGTGTCCATCTTAAACATGATTATTAGTGAGGCTGTGAGTTTTATTTGTATTTTATTAAATCTTAAAATTACATGTTAATTATATAACTTAAAATACTGTATATGTGCTTAATACTTAAAATAATCTTGTGTATTAACAACTGTATACACATTATCTGTGGGATAGTGATTTTTTTTGGTCTTTTTGCGACAGGGTCTCCCTGTAGCACCAGCTGTCCTGGAACTCACTATGTAGACCAGGCTGGCCTTGAACTCACAGATCCGCCTGCCTCTGTCTCCCGAGTGCTGGGATTAAAGGCGTGTGCCACCATGATTCTTAACTGTACAGGATTCTTAACTGTACAGGAGGTAAGGAGAATGATAATTGATTTTAGCTGAGGGGCAGAAAAGAAGTGTATAATTTGACCTTGTAAATCAGCTGCTCATTAAGGTTTTTTCTTCATAATTTTTAATTAACTCCTTTTGAATTTCATATAATATATTTTGATCATATTTAGACACCCCCCTCCCCTATCTGCACTCCTTTTATAGCCCCCATCCACTCTTGCTGGAGTTTATAAGGGCTGTCCAGCCAAGTTTGTGTCTTTAAATTCCTTTGCTGTGCATCCATCCACTTGAGCCTGGTTAACCTATTTCACGTCACATCCTTAGAAGAAAAACCTACCTTCCCTCTCCTAATAGTTCCTCAGCTAAGGTTGGGGCTTCTTCCCCATTACTATTCTGGGATTTTGTCTAACTTGAGCTTGCCTGGGTCTTGTGCATACTGTCACCATTGCTGTAAGTTCACATGAGGAACTTCCCATCTGTCTGAAACACTGTTTCTTTGTGGTCATCCACCACCCTCGTTCTTACTATCTTTCTGCCCCTTCTTTAGCAATGGTCCCTGAGCCTTGGGTGGCAGAGGTTGATATAGGTGTCCCTTCAGGGATATGACTCCGCAGTCTCTTCTCTGAGCTTTGTCCGGTTGTGACTTTCTGTGTCAATCACCCTCTGTTGCATGAGGAAGCTTCACTGGTGAGAATTTAGAGGTGCATTAATATTCTTTCTTCTCTCTGTTCCCTAAGCCTTAGGTATAGAAGTTGCATTGTAGGTGTGTCACTTAGCGCTGGGAACCTCATAGATACTTATTCTATGCATTTGATCAGTTATGGAACTTTGTAATAGTCTCTATCTGTTGCAAAAAGAAGCTTCTTTGATGAGTGATGAGAGGTACACTTGTCAGGCTAGTTGGGAGCTCTCCAGCAGCTGAAGGGGCCTAGTCCCAAGGTGGGACGATTGAAATGAGGTAGACAGGTCTAGTTAGGCAGGGTAGATATGGGCCCCGGAGCAGCACCAGTGGAACTGGTTCCAAAGCTGGGTTATGCCAAGTGGACAGGATTTGACTAACTTATCAAGCTAGTCTGGAGCTCTCTGGCAGTGGGAAGTTTTTGTTGTTTTAAAAATGGCTTTTCTATTTTGATTTATTCATATTATTTTATGTGTGTGAGTGTTTTGCCTGAATGTATGTAAGTGTGCCTATGTTGTGCAGTGCCCATGGAGGTCAGAAGAGGGTGTTGGATCCCTTGTAACTGGAGTTACAGATGGTTGTTAGCTGCCATGTGGGTGCTGGGAATTGAACCCAGGTCCTCTGCAAGAGCAGCCAGTGCTCTTAAGCACTGAGCTATCTCTCCAGCTCTAAACTTTTATGATGGGATATTGTTGTTATAAGAATTTTGCTTGCTGGGGCTTGTGGACCCTAAGAGAACATTCCTAATGCTAAATTATGATTTTTTTGACTTCATAAAAGTAGTCACAAACTCAAGATCTTACTAAGGCAAATTAATCAAATCCATTATTCCATTCTTTGAATTTAAAATATACTTAATGTAATAAGTAACCAGAACTTGGCTTTATTCCTAAGAAGTCAGATTTCTATTTCTATTCTCTTTTGCCTAATAGCTGAAGTCTGGGATCAGGAATTTGACCCCGTCATGGTCATTCTTCGAACAGTTTACCGCAGAGATGTGCAGTCTGCAATGGACAGATATACAGCCTTGTAAGTCCATCAAAATGATTAATGTTATTATAGAATAGTTTGTGTTTATGTAGAAAAACTTCAGTTATAACACGTATATTCTCATTAAAGTATACTTAATTTGAGAGAAGTTACTCTTTTAAAGTTTCTAAAAAATAATTTGAGATTTATGTTCTCAAAATGTTTATCAAAATTTGTTGTTAAGCTGGATGTAGTGGCAGCTGCATATGATATCAGCATTCCAGAGGTAGAGGCAGAAGGATCTTAATTTAAGGCTAGATTGGGCTACCTGGTGAGATCCTACTTCATAAAACAATACAGAAACTTTGATGTCAACCTGATACAAATACATTTTATTTTATTATTTTATTTTATTTTTTGGTCTTTTTGAGACAGGGTCTCCTTGTAACCCCAGCTGGCCTGGAACTTACTTCGTAGACCAGGCTGGCCTTGAACTCACAGAGATCCACTTGCCTCTGCCTCCCGAGTGCTGGGATTAAAGGCATGTGCACCACGCCTGGCTACAAATACATTTTATAAGACATGACCACTAAATTAAAAACGAGAAATATAGTTCCTGTTTGATCAGTTGAATTTGAGGCTTGATTTTTGTGTTATTCTACTTTTGGAGCAGTAGAGGAGGCACAAGTTTAAGAAAATAAATTGCGATATCAGATGTGCATAGATGTGCCCAGCTGTGTGGGCATATCTGTAGATTAAAGGTTGATATTGGAATGTCTTCCTTAATCACTGTCTTCTGTCACTCACTTTAGTTTTTGAGACAGAATCTCTCACTGAACCTAGAACCTGCCATTTGGGTAGACTAGCTTCCAAGTGAACTCTCCCTGGGATTTACCTGACTTCACCCTCCAGTGCTGGAGTTATAAGTGCATATCACTGCTCCTGGCTTTTATGAGGGTGCTAGAGATCTACCAAACTCATGTTCTATGTTTGTGCATCAAACACTTTACCTACTGAACCTTATCTCTATTGGTTTTTTTTTGGAGACAGGGTCTCAGGTAGTCTAGGCCAGCCTCAAACTCACTGTATAGCTGAAGCTAGCCTTGAACTCCTGATCCTTCTCTTTCATCTGTCACATGTTGAGGTTATAGGTGTGTGTCACTTTGCTTGGCTCTCTGGCTCTCATAGTTTCCTGGATATATTTCTGAATTGCTATGTTTACTAGCAGTTTGAAAAAAATTTTGTTGAGATAGGGTCTCACTTTATAGACCTGACTAGCCTGAAACTCTGTTTAGACCAGGCTGGTCTCAAACTCATAGAGATCTTCCTGTTCCTTTCACCTGTTTGCTGGGATTAGTGATCTACCATGCCCGACAAGAATACTATTTTCAAAGATTTAAATTTTAATTTGTGTTTATGTGTGTGTATGTATATGGGCATGTGAGTTCATCCATGGATGTCAGAAGAGGACATCATGTCTCCTGGAGCTGGTGTTAGAAGTGGTTGTGAGCTGCCTGATGAGGGTGCTGAGAATCAAACTCCAGTGCTCTACAAGATCAGCAAGTGCTCTCAACTGCTGAGTCATTTCTCAAGCCTCTGAAAACCTGTATTTTTAAAAAGTGTGCTAAAAGCAGTAATAACAAATGACAAATACTCTTGGTGCGAAACTAAAACTCATTTCCTTATAAATCAATTTTTGCAATTTTATGTGAGGGGCATTATATCCATCTAGTAATGTTTTCACTCTGAAAATACTATATCCGTGAAGACTGTTGTTTCTATGTCAAATTTAGTTGTTTTTTTTTTTTTTGAGACAGGGTCTCCCCAGCTGGCCTGGAACTTTCTATGTAGACCAGGCTGTCCTTGAAGTCAGAGATCAAACATGTACCACCATGTCCAGCAAAATTCAATTTTTGAAACTTTATTTTTTATGTGAAATATAGCATTCAGCTCCTTTGGTATCTTATTTTTAGTGTCTGGAAAATTGACAGATGTTTCTGTTCTTACAGAGCCCAATTAGGAAGTGACTATTGACTTTTTTGTTTTTTTTCGTTTCATCTTTTAGATTTAAGGGACACTAAGTAGATTAACTGATTTTACTAATTGAATTTCTTTAAAATTTTTTTTTAATGCTTACTTGTTTATTGGTATTTTTGTGTGTGAATGAGTGTGTGTATGTGTCTGCATATGTGTATGAATGTTCACATGCCATGGTGCATGTGTTGAAGTCAGAGGACAACCTTTGGGAGTCAGTTCTCTCATTCTGTGTGGGTCCTGGACTCAGGTTGTCAGGCTTAGTGACAAGCATCTTGACTGCTGAGCCATCTCACCAGTCCTAAATTATTATCCTGAAGTTATTTATTTACCAAAAGGTAAGAGAAAAACCTTTTGGAAGAATAATAGTGAAAGTGGTTGGTTAAATTAAAACTATTGTATCTTCAGAATCTATAGTGGTGTCAGGCACTTTGTAGGCAGTTAATATTTGTTATACTCTAAAAAGTTTGTGTGTGGGGGGGGTGTGGGTGTGGGTGTGGGCGTGTTCATGAGTGCAGGTGTATGTGAAGGCCAGAGGTAGACACTGGGATGGCTTCTTTTCTTTTTTTCTTTTGGTGGTGTTTTTGAGATAGGGTCTCCCTGTAGCCCCAGCTGGTCTGGAACTTGCTATGTAGACCAGGCTTTAAAGACACAATCTCTCATTGAATCTGGAGCACCTTGTTTTGGCTAGACTGGCTGACCCGTGGATCCCCAGAGCCTGCCTGTCTCAGCCTCCCAGCACTGGAGTGGCAGATACCTGCATCTAGCCTCTTTTTTGTTTTTACATGGGTGTTGGGGATCTGAACTCAGGTCCTCATGCTTCTACAGCAAACACTTTATCCACTGAGTTATTTCTCCAGCCCCTAAAAATTAATTTCTTTTTATTTTTGTGATGAGAATTTAAAAGAGAATAAACGATTCTTACTGTTGAACTTGGCCTTTAAGTTGTAGTTCAATTCTGTGAAAGTGGCCTTCACTGGAAGGAGGAGGTGGGACAGCAAATGAGAAAGCCCTGAGAGTGCAGGTGGTTCCCTTTGCTTCCCTCCGTACCTCTCAGATAGTCCTTAATGGGCATCTTCTCTCTTAAAACGAAGACACTAGTAGGATGACAGTGAAAGAACAAACCAACAGCTGGACACTCCCTATTCATTCATTGTTGCATTTTATGTTTGAGGACATTGAGGTCCATAAAAGCTTATCTTTGTTAATGGCAGTGTTGGAATTATGGTGGCTCTTTTCAAAAGAGAGAAGAATCATTTTCTATAGTGACTCTTTTAAACTACTGGGAATTAAATTTTTTTTGTATGTGTTGTAAGTTTTGTTGCTTCCTATTTTTCTTGCTGAAAATCTCTTGTATAAATTTATCTGTGTCATTTTTGTCTCTAGCTCATTGGTTTCAGTCACTTGCATTTTTTTCCACTGTTATGTGGCATTTCATTTGAATTATTCCATCAATACTTTGGATTTTTAAGAATTTTATTTATTATTTTAATTTTTTTATGTGTATGAGTATATTTCTTGCATGTAAATGCACCTGTGTTGTAAAGTGCCTGTAGATGTCAGAAGAGGGTTTGTCAGATCCCCTGAAAATGGAGTTATGTACAGTGGTTAACTGCCATATGGGTTCTGGGAACTGAACCCTAGGTCTTCTGGAAGAGCAGCTATCTCTCCAGCTCTCATCAATACTTTTGAAAAGAAGAGTCAAGGTATTGGATAACCTGCTGCCTTGAACAAGTATATGAACTTTATTTTATAATGTTTTATTTAGGTGTTACATATTTAGTGGGTAGTGCTTTGAGTAAAAAAGAAACAAGCTAAAATTTACTTTTTTGTGGCAGATAAAATAGAATAGTTGAAATATTTCATCATGTACTATTCGGATTATTCTGAAAATTCATAAACATATAAGTTTATTTTATGACATTCTTTTTATGAATCACTGAGACAACTAATTCTGCTCATGTATTAATGATGCTTATATTTTAAGAAAATTTCCCTCTAGATAATATCTCTTCTGAGATTGATTACCTATTGTTTGGTCTCTAGCTTCCACATGAGAGGCATTTCTCAGATGTCTGATAATTCTGGATGCATGGTAGTAAGATGCTGAGTTTTCATATAATGTGATTTTAGGTAGGTAGATTATTGAGAAGACTTGTGTTGTCTGTTTAGATTTTTGTTCTGGTTACATCTCTCAGAGAAGTGTTTTCACATATTGTCCAGAAGGTAATGATCTGGCTTCCATTATTCTGTGAACCAAATGGCAGGGTTGAGAAGGCTTAGTGCTTCTGAGTCAGATATGCAAACTATGATTTTAATGTCCTGTCCTCCTACCCTTAACTATGCTTGGTGTTTTATTTGTAGAGACTAGTCTTCCCAGCAAAATTCCTTTTTAGCATCTATGGTGGTTTGAATGAGAATGTCCCCCTTAGGCTCCAAGTATATGGACCTTTTTTTTGTCCCCAGTTGGTGATGCTGTTTTGGGAGGTCTTAGAAGGTGTGCCCTTGCTGGAGGAAGCACGTCACTAGGGGCAGCTTTGAGCGTTCTTAAGCCTTGCCGATTTCCAGTTGTGCTCTGCTTCCTGTGCCTGCTTAAAGATGTGAGCGTTTGCTCCTCTTTCTGTTTTAGCCATCTTTTGTTACCATGCCTCCTTGCCATGATGAACTCTGATTCCTCTGGAACCATAAGCTCAAATAAACTCTTTATAAGTTCCCTTGGTCATGGTGTTTTATCACAGCAATAGAAAAGTAACTAATACAGCCTCTTACCTTCCCACCTATAGTTACTCATATAGCAGATACTGCTGGTTTCATGATCTAATTTTAAATTTTAATTAAAAACATTTATTGTGTGTGTATGGTGTACTTGTGTGTGTGTGTGTGCATGAGTGTGGAGGTGTGGAGGTCAGAGGACAACTATGTGGAGTCACTTTTCTACTTCTACATTTATGTGGGTTCTAGGATTGAACTAGATCATGAGGCTTGCATGACAAGTGCTTTTATTCACTGAACCATCTTGCAAGCCC